CTTGTATTTTTCGTACCTTTTATTCGGCGAAAGGAGAAATTAAATCCCGCCATACTGATTAGAAAATCCTGAGCAATGTGTATTTGTTACCTAAATATATCACTTTCTCTGTTCTTTATACGTTCGCATATTAGATCAAAGAGGGATACGTATGTACTGCAAATTTTATCGACATTACATAAGGATCTTTTAATATATGTGTTTTATGTTTTAATTTTAACATTTTGATTCCTACAATACATTGTTATATCGGATAGTGACCAAATATGGAGCGAAAACTAAACAATGTTACATATATAAGAAAACTGAAACTAATCTGTGGCGGATACAGGAATCTTGAAAAGAGGGGACATGTTTGTGGTCAGATTTGGGATCCACTGCTAGACAAAAAATGATTAATCAAATCTTATGTACATTTTGCACACAGAATGGAATGGGGTCCAAGGCCCCATTAGGCCCACTCTAAATCCGCAATTGCTAATAACAGTTTAGTCATTTATCAAATGATTTGTACAACAATCAATAAAAAAATTGGGTCATGGAGGTATGGAATCAAAATCCAGTCTTTTTTCACAGTATTTTATCTATCGTCAAGCATTTAATGATAAGACAATGAGTTGCAATAGTTTTTATATAATTTAGAAAAAGAAATTTTTTTTTTAAAATCAAATTATAATAATGAAAAGAAATTTAAAAAAATATAAATTGACAATTTCCTCAGAATAAAGATAAATAGACAACTATTTACATTTATCAAATGCATTCATTATTGCTTCTTCAAAAAACACTTCAAATATTGGTTGTGTAACTTTGAAAACGAAATCAAGTATCCATTTATAATAATTTATCGTCAGAATATTATATACATCCAGCACAAAGATGTCTTGCAACTCCACATTTTAGCAATTTATTTGTTGTTTAAGCGTATGACATCGTGGAAGAAAACAAGCATTAGAAATTGGAACCTGAAATCATTTACAGAAATGGATATTGTAATATTTTATGAAAATTAAACATGAGTATTTTCAATATGAAAAGCCATTATAAAACATCGACCAGGGTTAACGATATAATCTCCACATCCTTCTTTTGTCACAAGAAACCCATCTCCAGAAACATTTTTTCAAGATTTTTGTTCATATTGATATCCAGGTCCTCAAATTCATTAGAACTTTTTCAACTTAATCCAACTCCTTTAAATACCTTTAGAAAATATTGTTTTCAATTTGTACGTGAGAATTTGTACAATGTGTTCTTCAAAGGAAACAATAAGGAACCCTTTTTTCACCTTTATTTGCAACTCATTTTGCTAAAAAATCGTTCTGATTGTACATACAAGAACAATGAAATTGACATCAAAAAGATGCTTGAATTTCTGATTGACAATGATTATGTTTTTTGGATACCGGGTGTTCCAACAATTTATTGGAATTCCCTTGGGTACCATTGGAATTCCCATAGTAGCAAGTGTGCCCCCTTAGTAGCACACCTACTTTTGTATTCATATGATGTAGAACTTTTCAAAAATCTAATACATGGGGGAAAAGTCATTGTAACCTCAATTCGACGTTTTCATATACATGTATCAAAGACATATTGTCAATTAACATTGGTAATTTCCATTCTTATGTCGATACGATATATTCCGATGAGCTTGAGATAAGAGATACCAAAGATTCTCACACATCTGTTTCATATTTTGAAATTTTACTTGAAAAAGATTTTTAAGGTTACCTAACACCCATGCTAAATGATACACTTAATTACGTTAACTTTTCAATAGTTTTCAATAGTTTATATCTCTTACTTATGCAGCAATATACGTTCATCACCTGTACACGCAGTTTATATTTGCTAGCTAATTTGATACGCTAGAGCATAATATACGTATGTACAATTTTGTAAACGACGTAAATTATTGTAAACAAGATAATGAAGCAAGAATATTCAAAGTCTCGTTTAAAGTCTCATTTCGTACGTTATTTGATCTGTAGAATGACCTTGTCAGCAAATATAATTTATCAGTAAATCAAATGCTGACTGAAGTTTACATACTAATTATTAGGAAACTTTAAACCCTGAATTAACGATGGATTTTCCGTTATTTTACAATCATGACAAGGAGAACACGGTGGGCTCGACCAGTAGGCAGGGGTACTCACTCCTTAAAGGTACCTGATCCCACCTATGATTGGGAAGGTTCTTACTTGCTCTGTTCCTACTTTGTACTGTTTTATAGATTTCTGAGCTTGAATACTGTTGTTATCGCCATATATGTCTTTTATAAACCTCTTTTTACGTCTTATGCTGAAGAGGTTTTTGTATACATGTATTCGATTTACATGATTGGCAAAAATAGAAATATTGATAAAAACTCCCATTTTCCTTACAGATATCTTTATTATTACTAATGATGACAGGTTATGTTTATACCCATGATTCTGGAAAAAAAAAACAAAAAAAATTAGTCAGCATAATTTGACTAAATGTTGTCAAAATTAGTTATAAAAGAAATTCAAAACATTAATCTTTTTATTAATGTTTTAATAAATTGTGAGAATATTCAAACTTTAATCGAAATATACCGGTTACGGTAGCCTAGTGGTAGAACTTCCTGATCGAGAGTCCCGGGCTCGACTCTCATTCGCGGCGCCGGGTAAACCTATGACGTAAACATAGGTTAAGACTGTTCCTTCACCTTCGTCAAGTGCTCGACATTAGAAGTGAAAGTCACGGGTCTTCTGGATATGACTTTAAAAACGTAGGCCCCGGCAGGCGTTAGCAAGATAAAGAACCCTCATTGCTCGAAGGCCCTAAATGCCGAGTATAGGTCAAAATTTTAAAGTCCTTCACCAGCATACTGTGCTGTCTCAATATGAGTGAACAATTCTCGAATAGGACGTTAAACAATATACAATCAATCAGTCTTATCAAAATAAAAAAAAAATGCACCCAAAATATAATAAACACGAACCAAAGGAAAACCAAAGCTGCTGTAGACAAGTTGTTATTCGCACAATCCTTTATAAGCTATTTGACAGTTTTAAATTAATTAGCGACTTCGGTAAAATTCTTTACAAATGCAAAGCAAAAGAAATAGGTCACAGGGATAAATATCTGAGCGTTAAAGGTGAATGTGAATGAGATTTCCGGAATAATTTTCGGTATTATATGTGTTACTATGGCTTTAATAGGAAACACCCAACTTTTGCAAGGTTTATTATTTATAGGTTTAATATTTTGGGGGTGAATTGAGCTAAATACACAATAATGAAGTATAAGCTGATTATGATAAGAAACACTTCGAAATGATATTTTGAACAGCAAGGGTATATTTACTCCTCTACGACAACCTTTACGGTCAACAGGGACCACCTGTTGTGTACCTCTGGAAAGTTCAGCACATAAAAAAATTCACTGTTGTTATCGTCACCTTTTACATAACTATGCATGAAATGTACTCATTCTTTCGTATACGGCTTTTTATGCGTCACAAAATGCTTTATCGTTCGTAGAGAAGACCCAATTTGGACTGATGACATTTTTACAAAAAAAAAACTGCAATATTTCTAAAGCTCTTGATCTCCATCATAGCATATCTGATGTTTGTTCTGTGCATACTTACAATTAATTGCTGGGACTGGGTCTGAACAGCCTAATGTACAATGTAAAATGTAAAGTATCTGACACTCATGTAGTTTTTCACAATATACCGGCATCATATTTTGATCTATGCTCGGCATTCAGTGCCTTAGAGCAGGGAGAAGATTTCCTCGTGCCAAAGACTACCATGACACGGGATCTCGTCCGAAAGTTGTGCGCAAGTTTTACTGCATGGGGCCGAGCTCATGGCAAAGAAACAATTGCTTTTCTTAGTGACTTGAGTTGGTCGCAGCCGAGATCGGAACTCACGATCTCCCAATCAGGGAGCGAGCGCTCTACCGACTGTGCAACCTTAGCTGTATATTAATAAAGACCCAAGCACAAAAACAATTGTGGTAAAACGAAGGTTGAAATCAACATAAATTTTTCAATTTACTTAGTTCTGTATGATGTCATTTTCTCTGAAAATATGTCATTTTTTTCCAATGGATAAATAAGAAAATGCAACAGTAACTTATATTACTTATTTTCTTAAGAGTCGTGGGATTTTCTGCAATGAGGAAACAAAATTGAAAAATGACGTGTCAAATATTCAAGTGCTTTCTCTAGGATAAATCATATACAGGGTATTTCAGCAAACATGTCCCCACTTTGCGTTTTCAATATAAAATTAAACAGTACAGTATTAACGTAAGAATTTTTTTGCAAGAATGAAAACCACAAAAGAAAACAATTTTACCAATATGAAATTGGAAGTAATTCTGAATCAACTATTTTTTGCAGACAAACATATTTAAAGTTTGAACATCAGCAACAGTTTTCAATTTAACATCATTTTTGTGATCTAAAAAGTCACAATATTTTCAGTCACCATCCTCATTTTGTCTCTGAAGGCCTTTATGACATATAATTGAACATTTTTAATGAAAAGTCTGTTTCCTAGAAAGAAGGTTTTCATATGTGTACTTTTAAAAAAATTTTATGCACTAATATTGATGATTTTGGAGATTTTTTGTTTGTATTGTTTAGATTATGAAAATCCATAGATCGATTTCTGAGGACAAAAACCTCACAAACTTAATTTTTGAAAATGTAATCAAAACGTCAATGGAAAAAATGTAATGGCTTTATTTTATAATGTTTAGATCACAATGATGTTGCAAGAAAATTGGCTTTGATATACAGTTATAATTTTATCAATATTTTATTACTGAGCAAAAATATAGACATCGAAAATCGGGACATGTTTGTTGAAACACTCTGTATTTTCTTTATGTTTATTTTTTTTATTTGTGAACTGATTTTTCAAGATAAAGAAATTTAATGATATATCTTTCGTTACTTCTCTGAAAAATTACAATCATTTTTATATTTAAAAAAATATAAAGACTTGAAGAACATCCTGGTTTCTTGCAAGTCACTGGACAGACGTCTATTCCAGCAGCATTAGAGGGATCACAGAAAAAGTCCTTATATTGCTGGCACTGGACTGTATTTTTATCCACACATATGTTTACTGCAGAAGAATGCCAGTTTTAATGGATATTTCTAATGAATACATTGTTAAAGCACATATTCATATTGAAAATATTTCTCGAATTTTGCCTAAAAATACGTTTTAAATATAAAACCTACATTGTGAAGGTGGTACATGTAACGCTACTTTAAATATAAAAATATGTGTCAGTAACCATTAAACATGTTAATCAGTTTTACTGATTGATAGCTATTGAACTTCATATTTAACTTTTCAATTTTTACTTGTATCAGTTCTAATATACAGATCACAGTTTGTTGGCAAAGGGCTTCACAATTTTCGTAAAAATAGTGGTTGTAACAATATTGTTGACAAACAATTAAGTCGTGTAGAATAGTTAGTGTAACTTGCTTGATCGATCGTGTAAATTGCACAATCGTGCGTTTATCAGGCTTAATCGTTTCAGGTCTTAATTTTGTGTGATCCTGCGTTAAGAAATGTGGAAATTTCGTTTTAAAAAATTGTAATGTTACAACTGTTTGTTAGATATGTTAATCAGGTATTTCACTTTTATCTTTTTCTCTATTTTTTTTTACAATTCAAAAAGATGAATGAAGCGCGATTTACCGGTACTAAAATGAAAGCATAATGAACTTATATTCGCTTGAATAAATTAATGTAGTTTTATAATACTGTTTTCTCGTAAAATAGCGTGACTTTCTGTGAAAAACCGGACTTAGATACTGAACGATTTTGCACCTGATGTTAACTGCTAATTTTGATCTATAAATTTTTTAAAAGATATACATCAGAAATATTCATTTGTAATCTTTAATAATCAATAAAGATATATATTTTTTTAAAGAAATATCAAATTCTAAGTCGATAAAATTATATCAATATTTATTTGACATCTGAAATAGGTATTCATATTGATTGTACATGTTTATTGTTCAACGTCTATTTCGAGAATTTTCACTCATTTGGAGACGCCACCACTTGCCGATTGAGAGTTGCAAATTTCGCCCTATAATCAGCACTTAGGTCGTTGAGCAGGGAGGGGGGTGGGTGTCTTTTTCGTGTCAGCACCTACTGCAACACGAGACCTCGGTTTAATCGGTCACATCCACCGGGACCGGCCTCTGCATCCCTTAGTGGGATTCAAACCCGCGACGTAAAGATCACTTCCTTACTTCGCAAATATAGAGCAAACGTTCTTGCCACTGCGCCACGCGTGCGACTGCATTCGTCTTGAAAATATCAATTCCGAAATATTTAGAACTATTATGCGTGAGGGATTGTACGTTTGCATGTATCTAGTAAAATTGTGTGCGTGAAGACTCAAGAAACAGGTTTAATCATGTGTTAATCGTGCAAAATCGTTTATGTAAGTTGTCAACAATAACTTTGCAGTCACTGTATATAATAGGCACCGAGGTGTCTTTACTATGTCAACCCAAGCACGGAAATTAAACTTGCCAACCCTAAAAGGGGGTATTTATCTTGACAACCCTGAAACTCGACATTTATCTTGCTAAACCTTACACCTGACCGCGGATTTTAAGATCTTAAAGGATAAATTCAAATTGGTACGTGCTTCCCCTTTTTACTTTAATGAAGAATTCGAAATACTTGGAATTGTAATTACTGGTTTTTCAAATAAAAGATCAACAAAGCAATACCTGCGGTGCTAATTGGTGTTGTAACAGGCAAAGTCATTCCGCTCTGAGCTGAAATAGAATTTATATAAAAATCTTACTGTAAAAAATTATGCATGCATTTCGTTTTTTTCCTAATACCTACAAGATTAATTTTACATTAGTATGCATATCAATTTTTTTGCATTTCAGAATGTATTCTTTGAATGCTTAGAAAATTAGCTATGTTTATTTATTTAAGGAATAACCGTCTTATTTCTCGATTTCATCAACGCCTTCGGCGTTTATATAAATTATCTCGCAACCCATTCGATTGATCATCGTCATGAAATTGATAAATCTGGCAGTTATTCCTTATATTTAGATGTTTTGATTCAGCCAATCCACGTACTCCAAGCCCTGCTTCTGTCTATATAGCTGTTTTTTCGCCCTACATGTGTTTTTGGAACCGCGCCAATACATTGATGAGGAAATAGAGTACATTCACAATTTGTAATTTACATTTAAGACATTGGGAATGTAAATATTGATGATTAAACCTCAATATAAACGTTGCCTAGTTAAAGGTCAAGTAAGGAAGATGATGAGAAGAGAGAAATGTCATTTTGTGGCATATATGTAAAGAGTGAAAATTGTACGTTTTATTTATAAAGTGACATCCAGAGCATTTAATTAAGACAGCATGTCTGACTTAAAAGTAATAGTTATAGGAAAAGTTTATGACACATAAATTTAAATAAAAGTACATATGCACTGGTAATCTTTACTTTCATAATAACCTGAAAATGACTTAAACCTAACAGATTGATGGAAAAACATGTTCACGTTAGGTGTAAAATTAAGAAAAAAAACTTGTTTGACGTTTTATTCAATCTGATTTGTATAGTTCAAGGTATAAATTGACAGTTCATTGTAAGGTACATTACCCTATCAATAAAATGATAAAATGATTATACGTACCACATGCATTACAAGACCTTGGACAAAACAGCCGCTCGTTAACTATATCCTTGCAGAAAATAAAATACAAAGCGCCATCCCTGCAGGAAGTCTCGTCATAATCCTGACAGGTAAGCAGTGGAGGTGGCGCCACCAATTCATACTGGTTAATAACTAAACAAATACCCTTTTCAGTTACGTAAAAATGTATCTAAAAAGAAAACATTTGAACGACCTAACAAGATATTGCTTGCTAAAAATGTAAAATTGTCTAAACCTTATCTAGCATGGAGAATGAAGAAGTACAATAGACCAAAAAAGAAAAAAAAAAGAAATAAATGGAAGGGTTTCTGCGTTTGATAATCAGTAAAACTGCCATAATATGGACATATCAAATTTTTGACCAGGTCTTTTAAATAGGTCAATGATAAGTAGAGACCATTTCATTAACATAATCAAAATATTTTTCAGAGGCCAACGTGTACATGTACATATATATCCCAACCTCCAGTTTCTTTAACAAAGACTGATTTACAGTTTATATCTGATAAGAAACCACCAACAATTCTGAAAAGTATAGTTCCTCACAAAAAATTAAGGTAAAACGATGTATCATATTTTTTTTAAGAAAAAACTTTATTATGAAATAGGTATATAAGTTTATCCATTGTTTTTGGGAATGTGGTTAGAATAATGTTGATAAATGTAAAAATTGGGTAAAACAGACAGAATATAAGATGTTGTTTTACCTTTAAAAATTTAATCCTATACTAATCTATACAAAAAGTTTAACATTTTTATGTTTTGCTGAGTTGGCATAAAAAATCCATATTGGACCGTTGAGTGAGATGTAGGACCGCTCGGAGAGATTTTGGACCGCTTACGTAACAGAATGGGCAGAGCTTAAAGGTCTTAAGAGACAACTACCTGAACATATTGAGTTACATACGGGAATAACTTTATCTGAGCTGATAATATGAGACTGAAAATGTTATTTAGCTTTTCAATGCAAGATAGCGACAACACAGTTGATCAAAATTACTCAGTCGGGAAAATGAGCTTTGACTTACGTTGCTTATCTCCCTTAAGATATGACGTCAGAAAGGCCCAGTCGCTGTTCAAGGCTACGCAATGTTTACAAACTGTCATGTCATTTTGCAGCTTAATTTTAAGAAATATCATCATCATGACTGAAACCTTGAATAATCATACGATCTTCAAACAGGCTGGTGTTTCATTTTATAAATTTCATAGCATATTTGCAAGATTTTTAGCATGGTTTATCATTCAGTGATTATTCTCATCGTTTGACACTTCGACCGATTGAGAGAAAGGATAAAAGCGATCGAAAGAGAGAAAGATTGGAGAGTGGGAATTAATTCACTTTTGTATGTAGGGCATTTATTTACAACATTGTTTTTATCACTAAGAGTCCAACGTGGTCAATGATTGAATTTTTCTGGACAATATAGACCTAGTGAATGCCCTAACTATATGATGCAGTAGCTATAGGTAGGGTCTAGAGCTTTTATGTTTTTTATTAAATGTGAAGTTAAACAAGAAATTTTTATTGTGTTAATGTTTTATTCAATTAAAAAGTCGTAGCCTACGAAGAAAAAAAGCATCAAGAAATATATAATGGCTTCATTAAGTAAAAATACATCTATAAAATGTATGAAAATAAGGAGTTATAGAATACATATTGTGACCAAGTAATTACATATTTTAATTCATATATTTATTTAGGCTAATATCGTACTCACTTTTGTTAACTTATTTCTTATTCGATTATTGAATTAAGTGAGTATGATTCTAACATTTTGTAAAGGCTTTTGTCGAACACACTTCTGTAATCTCATTCCTGACTGGCGTATTTTTTAAATCAACTCAATCCACTTGCGCAGTAGGTCTAGGTATAAATACTCATGTTCGATTGAAATTACTTGTCCCGCCAGCCAGTTTTCAAGGTCACAACTCCTCGAGGCCGTGATGTCCGTAAAGGTATTTGCTTTTGAAATATTTTTCTTTTTCACGACTTATTATTTTTTCTCATAACTTATGTTATTTTTCATTCTATCTGAAGTTATGATTATGTATTTTCTTTTATAGACACATGTCAGTGTCGTTTATTGCTGTTTGATAAAGATTTAAAAGTGACCTGGTCTTGTTTCTGCTCGGTTACATATGGCGCTGCGAGCAGTCGCTTAAAACGACAATGGCAAAGCACGTAAATCACGAGGACTGAACGACTACAAACTACGGAGGCCAACGGGGGAAACAGTTTCAAGGCGACGGACGATAGGGAAATCCAAGATGGCTTGCGGTGTACCACAGACATGATGCATGAACTGTGTATGACTTGAACTTTATTTTTTTTTTCTCAAATTTGGACGGTTAAATTATCATTTACATTTGACATATTTTTTTGTAGAAAAGGGGTTTAATTGTTTAAAAGGTGTTATTTTAGATCGGATTTTTTAAAATATCAAATTGATTCTCTTGAAAAATATTTATTGTGAAATGAGCAAAATGAATAAAAGAGAGTTACAAAAACGTGTTCATTAGCTTGAGAAGGAATTACTGGAATGTGATTTAAAACATGATGTTCCCCACTTTGTGAATCCTTATTTCAAAGATCGAAAAATTAAAAAGTTCAATGGAAATAATGTACCAGTTGATGTTTGGATCGATGAGCTGGCTTCTGTGTTCCATGCTATGCATATGTCTGTTGCTGAAAAATGTAATCTTATTTATTCGCATCTTGAGGGTGAAGCTAAAGATGAAATCAAATTTCTCTCGGATATTCGCTCAGCACCAAATGAAATGTTGGACTGCTTACGTAAAGCCTTCGGTGACAGGGAATCCATTACAGTAATACAGAAAAATTTCTTTGGTTGTAAACAAGGAAAAAAACGAATCAATCTGAAAATACTCCAACACCTTACTTGATTTATTCCAAAGGATTATTCGTAAGGATTCATCGGTTTTCAGACATAAGGAACGCACGTTATGTGAACATTTCTCCGAAAATCTAAGAGATGCGCACATCAGGAGAGAAATAAAGAAAATAGTACGTAAATCAGAAGAGTGTGATTTCTATGCATTACGGGAAGAGGCCATATTATTGAGTGAGGAAGGTGTAAAAATGCCGCATTCGGAATCGGAACAAAAGAAAACGGAAAGTGAAGATTCATCTTCATTCAACAAGCCTATGTCTGCTATTGAACAACAACAAAAACTAATAAATCAACTCACAAATATTTTGAAAACCCCTCCTACGATGACGCAAAATAGATTGACTGATGGGTACAGAAAATGTTTAAATTGTCAGGAATTCGGTCATATTTCACGGAATTACCCAAAAAGAAAAGATACAGGAATACAGCAGGAAAACTCTGCCCCATTATCGACCGGAGTCCGACGGTAGACGGGAATACAAATGGCTCTTCTGGAATTTCACGCATGATCGGAGCATGTCCGGTGATTAATATTGTAATAGAAAATGTGAGCATCCCTTGTTTAGTTGATACCGGATCTTATGTGTCTACAAAACAGAAAGTTTCTATAGAGAATATGTGGAAAAACATGGAAAATCTTTCTCCCCGTGTAAAATTCAACTGAAAGCAGCAAATGGAATTAACATACCATACATTGGATATCTTGGAAATGATGTTATTTGTTTAGTGCTTCCCCAGCGTGGAATTCTCATAGTTCAAGATCCGTCAGACCCCTTTACTAAACAACGAAAACAGGAAGTACCTGGTGTTATTGGAATGAATATAATTGGTATGTGCAAAGAAATTCTCTATCAAGAAAACAAATCGAACAAATCGGAGTCTCCAGTGAGTGTCGGTTCAGTGATCAGCAATTGTCCAACATTTTTGCGTCTATCGATAAAGATCAGCGATCGTTTACCTATGGATTCGCTTGAGTGAACAGTGCTGAGCTTATTGTGATTCACTCACACAGTGTAACGGTTGTTCATTGCACGGTACCCAAAATTCACAAGGAGTACAATGCATTAGTGGAACCACTTGTCAATAAGAGTCATTTACATAGGCATTTGGTTACTGTAGATCACTAATTTTTCGCGACACCTTATTTTCGCGAGATAATCACTGAATCTTGATTAGCGAGACCAAATTTTCACGAATTGTGGTTATTGCTCTATATAATCTTAAGGAATACTATTATACGCGAGAATTTAATTTTCGCGAGCAAACTGTCTCGCGTAATTACGCGAAAATAAAGTTCTCGCGAATAAAAAGTGATTTACAGTATTGTGAATACTTATGTTTCTGTGAAAAATGGCCATTGTAGTGAACGCATTGCTAATGTAGGTGATGAAAATATTTATCTACAACCCAGAACGAAAATAGGGGTAGTGTCAAAAGCGGATATTGTGAATGATAATTCTAAAGTTCAGTTCAAATCAACAGGATTTACTGAGGAAATATTCATTTCGGAGAATTATTTTGCAACACATGAAGTAACATCAGATACAAAGGAATTTCAGCTAAAGATGACAAGTTAAGCAGCACATTTGAAAAAGATGTGATTCGTGAAAGTACTAGTCCGTAAGCGTCTCCTATAGTATTGGTCAGGAAAAAGGATTCAAGTCTTCGGCTATGCGTCAACTACCGGAAACTAAATCTAAAGTGTCAACGAGATAAATTTCCGTTTCCAAAAGTAGAAGAGTGTTTTGATGAACTTCAGTGTTTTCAACCATGGATCTGACAAGTGGTTACAATCAAATACCAGTTAAGGAATCAGACCGCTTTAAAACAGCATTTACAAAACCTTTTGGTTTATATGAATATAACAAAATGCCGTTCGGATTATCAAATGCTCCGGCTACATTTCAAAGACTGATGCAGCAGTGTTTCAGAGAAGAAAATTTTTCAGATTCTACTTAATTTCTTGGATGATATTATTGTGTACTCAAAAAGGATGGATGAGCATATTCAGCGCTTAGATACAGTATTTACCATTTTGAAGAAACACAGATTGAAATTGAAAATGAACAAGAGGCCCATGGGCCAAATCGCTCACCTGAGCACTAAGTGTAGGAAAAAGTAGAAAATGGCTTTATATTGTAAAG